TACATTCTCGGTTTGTTTATTTACATTTTTCAATGTTTATTTACAAAAATTTTCGAAAATTTTCAAATATTTGTAAAATACTTACCTTTACTTACCTTTTTATACTTACCTTATTTTAAAGATGATTTTTCAGCAAAAAAACGTTTTTTTAAACATTTTTTTAAACATTTTACTTAAATCTAATTATAAAAATATAAATATACTTGCCTATTTTATACTTACGTGATTTTTGAACATGGAGTAAAAAGTTTTAGCCAAAAATTCGATTTTTTAACAGGAAATGAAAAAAAATGCTAAAAAATTGGAAAAATTAGTAATTTTGGGATTGGGAAAAAAAATAAAAACTATGGTTTGTTCGAAAAAATGTGTCTTTATTTATATTTTAATTTTTTACATTTATCTATATTATTAATGTTTATTTACAAAAATTTTCGAAAGTTTTAAAAAATTAGTTGTAAAATACTTCTGCTTGCCTTAATGTACTTCTTCCATTTTGAGGATGATTTGTCTGCAACAAAAATTTTTTTTAAATATTTTATTCAAATCTAATTATTATATTAAATAAAATATATTGTACTTACTTATTTTACACTTATCTTTAACGCATAAAAAACATGTACACGCGTAGAAAAATCCTCCTGCAACACATAAAAGTAAAGATGAGTAAAATGGTTAAAGGTGATGATATCGTGTAATATTTTCTGTATATGATTATAAAGAAGATTATAATTGAAATATGAAATGATTTTATTTTTCCAAATAATAATTTGAGATATCGATAGAAATCAAAAGTTTCTATCGAANGAGGGGGGCTTGCGAAAAACGAGGCCTGACCCCCGCCAGGGGTTCTCAACTTCCTGCTGGTGATGCGAGAGAAACGTGGGAATCACGTTCGAATCGTGTCGTTACAGGAAATAGTTTCCGTTCCGACGAAATCTATTCCCTCTCGTTCTCTCTCGTTTTTTGATTATTTTTCCACGCGCCTATACGAATAAATAACGCGCGCCAATGAAATAGAGAGAAAAAAAAAAAAAAAAAAAAAGGAAAGAAAGAAAAATATTCAAAAAATACTACATCGAACGCATTGATTCGTGCATCTGTTGGCCAACATTCAGGATGCATAACGAATCCTTCGGAATTCGTTATGCATCCGGTGAATAGGATCGTGTCCTGGGTGTCGTCGATGACAGGTCACGGATTAAGTGTAGCATCGCCACCGTGTATTTTAAAACGGGGAAACGACCTGTGCCGAGTCTGCGATACCACCCTCGTGGATTAATTTCGAACAAAGCGTCGTCGA